CCCTTAACTCTTGCCTAAGCGCTTGACTTTTCCAGGATGGGCCCCACAAAGGCGACCCCGTTTAGGGCCTTGGGATGCGAGAGAAGCGCCAAGAAACCCCGGATCCCCCTTCCAACCCCTCGAAGCAACTCTTCCGGGATCGGGTTCGCATGCCATAGAGGTTCAGGATCCCAAATGTTGACACAAAAGCCAACCAGGTTGGCGTGAGAACAGCCACTGGATGGGGAGAGGAGAGAACTAGTCGGGGAAAGCGATCTGCTCTTCAGCTCTGTTTTGTCTGCGGTTGGGCACCTCACCTGGCCGCCGCCTGGCCCCCTGACTAAAAAGGCTACCTTTCTTTCCGGGGCTGGGGCCCAGCTCCCCTCCTGGAAGCGTGTGAGCAAGAAACCCGCGGGAACGGGGAAGGAAGCGCGCTTTCGGGGCTGGAGGCGCACGGCGTTGGCGGCTGTGTCTGCGGAGAGTCTTGGAGCCCCGCCAGATAGCGCTAGAGGGCTGTTTATGGAGCGGCGGCGGCGGCGGCGCTTCTCCGGCTCATCGGGCTCTTCGCAGAATAAACAGGAGGGAGATCAAGAAATAAAGGAGGGAAGGAGTGCGGGCGGAGGGGGTGGGGAACCCCCAGACTCCACAAGTGCCCTTCTCATCCCTTCAGGTCTTTGGGGGAGCCCAGAAGAGAGGGCTGGGGAGCCGGGGATTTGGGACAGAGGCGACCTCAAAGAAAGGGAGAAGGACAGGAGAAACTTCCGACAGAAATCCAAGTTGCCCAGGCGGGGATCGGAGAGCAAAAGGGGGTCAAGAGAAGTTCACCCTGATTTTCTTGGAGGGTTTTTTTAAAAAAAGAAAGGAACAGGTTGCTGGAAGGAAACAGAAGGGAAAGGAAGGAAAGAGGAGAGAAAAGAAAATGAACTTCCTTTCTTCCCCTTGATGTCGGAGTTGTGGAGTCAATAGAAGGACGAAATCCACACCTTGAGGAGTATGCCCAGATAGGGGTCACTTATGGGGAGACCTGGGGAAAAACGAAAAGGTCTTGGCGCACTTCGTAGGGGGTTTTTTTTCCGCTTCTGCAGGCAAAAAAGAGAGGAAGGGGAAAGAAAAGGGATCAAAGACCGGGTTGCTGAGAGTTTTCCGGGCTGCATGGCTACGTTCCAGAAGCATTCTCTCCTGACGTTTCGCCCACATCTATGGCAGGCATCCTCAACCTCAATATAGTATGTGATAGATGTGGGCAAAACGTCAGGAGAGGATGCTTCTGGAACATGGCCATACAGCCCGGAAAACTCTCAGCAACCCAGTGATTCCGGCCGTGAAAGCCTTCGACAGGATCAAGGACCCTCTGAAAATCACAACCTTTCAAGAAACCTGGATTTTTTTAGAAATTTCAGGTTCGGTTCATCATCTGGCTACAATAAAACAGCTGGATTTCAGGCGGAGGAGAGACTCTGAATGGATCCTGGATCCATTTCAAGGGTTTTCCCAGGAGATAACTTTTGTTTTAGTGGTCTGTGGTGAAAGAGGAGTTTCATGTTTAGGGTTTGGAAAAGGATTTTTTTTAAAAAAAAAATAATTAAAAAGGCACATATATATATGAATGTGTGTGTTAAGGGTATTAACGTGAGAGGAGTCCTCTCACTTCCATTCTGGAAGTGGTAGAAGTGACCCATGATGGTGTGTGTGTTTGTGTGTGTATCGGGTTTGGAGAGGGATTTTTCAAAAAAATAAAAAATGCACTCTCTGTCTCTATCTATATCTATATCTATATATAAGTATATAACTATATCTATATATAAGTGCTACCACTATCTTCCTGGTGAACATGGATCCCTTCTACCATTTCCAGGATATTACTACAGCGAGAGGATTCTTAAACTGTTTCTGGCCCGATTTTCACCCCTTTTCCCATCCCAAAGATCCGGCCCATTTCTTGCAACCTGTCTCCACTGCAGAATTCCAATCCGAATCTGCAGAACAATCTATCCCTTCTCCCTTCCATGTACCAAATGCAGGCATTTTCATGACCCAATCTGCCCAATTTAAAAGAGCCCATCTCCTTTCGGCAAACAAACAAACAAACACTTGAACAAAGTTGCAAACAAGATTAAGGCTGGAGTTATTTGTCCCTCCGGAGAGGCCTCTGCCCCGCGGTCTAACTAACAGATGCGGGAAGACTAAGAGGATTTCAACCACGCGAATTTAATAAAACCAGATTAACTCCGTGTACTTTCCACACGGTTAAAGACCCCCCCCCCCCCAATTAATGGCACCCGAGAGTATCTATTACAAGACACAACTAGCACGGGGGCAGGAGAGGATTTCCGAAGAAAGGTCCGACTAATGTTCTGGAGCAAGATCTCTCTCTCTCTCTCTCTCTCCAGCCTAAAACCTAAATTTCCAGGATACCAGTATTTCCCGGGATCTTAGGAATTACCTGTTGTGTCCCTTCGCTGTGCAAAAAAAGGCGAAAGGGAGTGGGGTTTCAAAGAGAGCCCTAAATGCTGGGTGATTCCCCCCCTCTTTGGAAAGCCGCTGGTTGGAAACACTCTGCCGAAGTTCGAGAGTGTCTTTTCTGGCCCCTTCCACTTGGAAGCCGGGCGTGAGTGGCGAGAGGGCTTTTCCCCGCGTCCATATTGGTTCTGGCGCCCTTGTTCCCTGCGCCTTGGAGAGGCTCTTTCGCCCAGGGATGGACTCCGGATTGTTTTTCTTGAAACGGATCTGTTGCCCTTAATGAAGCCCCACGCAGCTGGACAGCTCCTCGGCGGACACTGAGAAGCCTCACCCCCAACTGACCCCAATTTGACACCACAAGATGAAATTTTACCGCCTGTTAAAACCATTTCCAGCCTGGGCCAAGGAAAAAAGTAATAGGGAAGAGGGGGAAAAAGGAGGGGTGTGTATGTTAAACTGACTGTTGAGGGGAGACCCATTTCCAGCAGAGCCCTCATTCCTTTGTGGATTGTGACCGGCTCTAGAGAAAGCCTCGCTTCATCCTGCAACAAGGTTTTGTGTGTTGTAGAAGGCTTTCATGGCCGGAATCACTGGGTTGCTGTGCGTTTTTCGGGCTGCATGGCTGTGTTCCAGAAGCATTCTCTCCTGACGTTTCGCCCACATCTATGGCCGGCATCGCAGAGGTTGAGGGGACCTCTCAAACTCTGAGGATGCCTGCCATAGATGTGGGCGAAAGATCAGGAGAGAATGCTTGTGGAACATAGCCATACAGCCCGAATAGCGCACAGCAACCAAAGAAGGTTTTGTGGGGGACACAATATGTGGGATCATGCCCTAAACCCAGGGGAGTCAGTCCCACCAAAATTAGAGGGCCTGATTTCCTAGTCCACAGGTTTAGGCAACGTCCTAGGCACTCATCTTTGGGGAAAGGGACACTGCTTCCTTTCTGTAAAGGGGAAGAGCCCAATGGAACCTCCGCAGCCTCCTGTTTTCCCCCCAAAATTTCTAATAACCTCACATTTGCTGCTCCTAAAGAAAGGATAACCGAGAACTTATATTAGCAGCATCTAATAAACCGAAAGCTGACCCTGCTGCTTTCAACTCCCACCCCTCTCCTCGCCATGTGTGTTTAGGCAACTTGAGAGAGGACGGGTTGTTTACCTTTACGAAGATCCCCAAAGGTAGGAAAGTGAGGAAAATGGGGAGGGAAATACATAGTAAAAGAAGGCCAGTTCTTATGGCAGAAGAACTGCTATGTGGAGGGAAATACACATTAAGATAAGTTCAGTAGAAAGGAGGTGGGGGGAAATAAAATTGATTTAAAATGGGGACAAGATTATAAATGGAAAGCACCAACCTTTTAGAGTTCTAATAGGACTTGCCTTGTTTCATTTTCAGTTGGCATCTTTAAAAAAATATTATAATATATTTAAAGGGCAATTATTATTATTTAAATATAATAATAATAATAATAATAATAATAATAATAATAATAATAATAATAATAAGCACAGTCGTAGACACTTGGGAAGTGTCCGACATGTGATCCAATACAACAGCCAGCATAGCGACCTTGTTTGCTGTGTATTAATCTTGTTGTGTTTAATAGTAACAGCAAAAACAACAACAACAACAATGGGCATTTAGGGTTCCTGGGTTGATGTTTTTGTTTTGGCTAATACCTAGACTGGTCGGAACATTCTTCAACTTAACGTTTTGTTGTTTAAAGGAAGTTTCATTAGAAGGAATTCCAGGGCAAAAACACTGGGAACTTTTCTCCTCAGTCCGTTCAAGTCTTTCTTTGACACTTTATTTCACACACATAACACACACACATACAAAGGTAGGCAGATAGATAGGTATGTATATATGTGTGTGTGTGTGTTTATATTTCTTTCACACACACATATATAACACACACATGTGTGTGTTATGTATATATGTGTGTGAAATACACACACACACACACACACATATATATATATCTCCATATACATACTTATCTGTCTGCCTAATCTTGCCCTCCACCCCTTTCCTTCTGATACACATAAACTCCGCTGGTCGGATTCTTCCCAGCAAAGAAGTTTTCAAATGTGCCTTTGGAAGGCGGGTTGTGTTGGCTGTATTACAACAAAGCGATTCCCAAGGAATTTCGGAAAGTGACATTTTCGGAAGAAGGGGGGAGGGAGGAGGGAAAGAAAGTGGGGGAGGCTTCAGTTAAGTACCATTCATCGAAGAGTAGATCTCTTTTAAAGCAATCTGTTGGAAGAGTCCAGCTGCAAAAAGTAGGAAAGGATTTGCATAACCTACTGCTCTGTAGGTCTCCGGGCACCCGAAGGATTAGCCGAGTATTCATTACCATGAATATCTTGGACTGCGTTGCCGATTTAGACGACAGAGCAGAAAATACCGGCCCACAACAAAACCCTCTCCCTTTCTCTCTCTCTCTCTCAACCCCCTCCTCTTCCAAAGCCCCTCGCCCCAAAGAGGTCCTTGGCCAAAGGTACTGCTTGAAAGGGGTCGACCTTCCTTCCCTTCGGAGGGCGGTTGGGACTACTCACCTTTTCCTGCCGAGTCCCGGGCAAGTCAGGCACAGAGGCTTGCAGAGGTGGCTCTTCAGAAGGGCTTTAATCTTGGAAGAGGTCCTCTAGAGGAGAAGGAAGGGGGCAGGGAAGGGGAGAGACAAGGGGGAGAAAGAGACGAGTCAAGGCAGCCCAGGGCTCTTCGGCTTCACGGGAGGGGGCTGGCTGGGCTTCAAGCGGGTCTCCTCCGCCTCTGGGCCGGGGCTTTTCCGCCTCTCTTGCCCTCGGAAGGCAGAGCAATGCCCCGCGCCGATAGTCAGTCTGTCAGCCTCCCTCCCTCCCTCCTTCCTTCCCTCCTTCTCTCTCTCTCTCTCTCTTTCCCTCTCTCTCCACCCTATCTTTCTTTATATGTGAGTGCTGATTTCCCGCAGACATCATTGTTATGATGGCTCATTTAATCAAACTGTTTAATTGCTCCGGTAATCACTATCATCATCACAGGTACTCAATCATTCCTCATTTTGGAGGGCTTTATTGACCTCGGGAGCACATTCCCTTTGGCCCATTCCAAGCGGGGCCCGATCCCTGCCTCCTCCCCTCCTTTTCCCTCCCTCCCTCTCTTCTCCCCTCCTTCCCCCCCCCCTTCTGTCTTTCCCTGCCTTACCCCTACCGTGACCCGAGCCCTAGTTCCTCTTGGCTCCCCGTTTCCAACAGGGTCGCCGTTGGGATGAGTGGTTTGGAGAAAAGGGGGTGTTTGGAAAGCCAAGTGTGTACGTTCACAAGCAGAGACATAATCATTGATAAATCCCACGATTAAGAGGGGAGACTGGGTCGGTTTTTACGTGGAAAAGGAGGGAAAGGGGGAAGGAGGGAGGGGAAGAAAGGAAGAAAGAGCCAGCGAGGGGGGGAGGGGAGCCCCAAACTGCAGAGTTTGACCATCGCCCCTCCCCGAGACTTCAAGCGCGCCCCATGATTGATGATCTCGGGGAGCTTTGGGAATTGAGTACTGGGAGGGGAGGAATGGGGGGGGAGGCAGGCTTCGGTTGCAGACAGGCGATTGGAGGAGCCTCCTTGCACCCCCAAAGTCACCCAGGAGGGAGGAAAAAGTGTGTGTGCGTGGATGAGAAGAGAGAGAGAAAGAAGGGGGGGGGTTTGCAGACTGCGCGGTGTGTGTTTCCCAAAGTTCATTGATCCTTGGGAAGAGAGCGAGGGGGCACCATGGCATCGGGTTGGCAGCATCCCTTTGCTGTAATGATTAACGTGGAACTTCCCGGGACAGTCCCTCCAAAACGCAGGTGAAAGAACGTGCCAAAAAGCAATACAACCAAGATGCATTGAAAACATAGTTTCATTATTGTGCATGTGACTTTGCCTTCCACTCTCCGGGCAGCACCACAGAAAGGGATTTCTCTCCCCCTCCAATCCACTCCCCCTTTAAACACCTGGAGGAAGGAGGGAGCCAAACTAGGATCCTGGAAAACTCAGGGAACAATCCTAACAACAGTAATCCTCCCCAAAAGTGAGTGAGTTGACCCCAAGGGGGAAAAGGGGCTGGGAAAGGCGGACTTGGTGGAAGGAAAAGCGAGGCTCGCTTCGGCCGCGAGCAGGACCAACTTTGCAAGGCTCCCGGCGCTTTCCTTTCCCAACCCGGTGCAAAACCACCCTCCGTTTGGCTCCCCTGGAACCGCTGCAATGCTTTTTAAAAATGCCAAAGGAAGCAAGGCGAAAGAAACGCATAATAAAAAGGGGGATGATGGAAAAAGGATAATAAATCCAAATTAAAGGAATGGGAAGGAAAGCCAACCTAGGCGCCCCCCCTCCCCCGGCTTTTCGCAGGCAACCAGCCAGCCTGCTTCTCTCTCTCTCTCTCTCTTTACAATCCCTCTTCTTCTGCTTCTTCTTCTGCTTCTTCCTCATCATCATCTGTCCCCTTCTGGCAACTCTGTTCTTCCCACACTCTCCCTTTTCCTTTCTGAAAAGGCGCGTTGATTTGCTATGGGTCTGCTTGGGCGGCGTGGCTTCTCCTGCCCCCCTCCTCCTCCTTCCCTCAACCCCACATCTCCCCCCTTCCTCCTCCTCCTCCTCCTCCTCCCCAAATCCCAGCCCCGATGGCGCGGAAGCAGCCCCGATTGCAGACGCCGCCGCAGCTCACTGGCTGGAAGCGCTGCCTGCCTGGCTGTGTGTGCTCTCTCTCTCTTTTCTCTCTCTCTCTCTCTCTTCTCCCTCTCCCCTGCCTGTGTCTCTGTTGTAGGACTGGCTATGGCCACCACGACTTCCGGGTTCCGTCATTTCATTCTCCCGCCGCCGCCGCTCCGCGCTGCAAAACGGAGCCTCTTCCTCTCCTCTAAGCCAGCCAGCAGCCAACCTGCCAACACTTACTGACACTCACTCATCTCCGAGGGAGAGGTGAAGAGGGAGACAAAATACCTACCGGGAGGAGGAGGAGGAGGAAGAGGAGGAAGAGGAGGAGGAGGAGGAAGAGGAGGGGGGAGGAAGCACAGAGCAGGGGGAAAAACAACAACAACCACCATCGGCACCGAGGAAGTCCACGTTTTGCAAACTATTTCATATTTTTTCCCTCTCTCTCTCTCTCTTCGCGTCCTCCACCCCCCCTCCCCCCTCCCAGTATAGTTAAAGGGAAAGAGGAGGGAGAGGAAGAAAGAAAAAACAAGACAAGAAAGCACATCTCTCGCTTCTTTTTTCCCCCTTCCTGCGAGGCAAAACCCAAACGCGGAGTTCCTGAGAGGAGAAGAAGAAGAAGGAGCCGAGGTTCCAAAGAGGTTCCTCTCCCCCCCCCCTTCGCCTTCATCCTCGTCCTCTTCCTCCTCCTCCTCAGCCATCATTCATTCACTACCTTGACATTCCATGGCTTTGATTGACAGCTGGAGTGGCAAAAAGCCATGAGACACGACAGTTTGGTTACATGTGGGTCGCTGACGGGCCGATCGTAACCTTCAGTTTGGGGGCTTGACGGGTGTCCCCCCCCCGCTTTTTTAATTATTGTTGTTATTATTATTATTTTAAACCTCAAAGAAGAGAAGAAGAAAAAGAGACACAGAAAGGGGAAAGAGAAGAAGAAAGCGCGGGGGGAGAGAGAGGAAAAGAAGGAGAAGAAATCACGACGTGGTTATTTTATATTTTTTGCCTACTTTTTATTGTCTTTGCTATTATCTTTATGATCCTTTTACGCGCCTCGGAGAAGTCTCCAAGCGGGTCGGAAAGGCAAGGGCGAAGGGGATTCTTCTTCTCCTGCTTCTTCTCCTCCACTCAGACACTTTGGGTCGTCGTTGTTGTTGCTGCCCTTGCTGGACTGGGATATTAAATATAGGACACCTCCCGGAGTTGCTCGGCGCGCAGACTGATGGCGCAAAGGGTAGGTTGAAATCTCCAACACTTACCTTACGTATCTAATCCTGGCTTAAGAGGGGCCCGGGCGGATTTGTTCTCTCTCTCTCTCTTTCTCTCTCTCTCTCTCTCTTGGTCCTGCTGCTCTTTCCAACGAGGAAAAGAGTGCCAAAAGAGAACAACCCAACCCCAAATCGGAGCAACAACCACAACAAAATGTTCCCCGGTTTGGGCTGTGTGTGAGTGAGGGAGCGAGTGAGGGTGTGTGCGCGCGTGTGCGCGTCCGCGCGTGTGCCTCTTTCCCCCTCTGCTGTGCGTGCCCCTCTCTCTGTCTCTGTCTCTCTGTCTCTCTCCCTCTGAGTGTGTGTCTGCAATTGTTCCGCGCTCCTTCCCTTTCCTCTCCAGCTTTTCCCCCAACCGCGCGGTTTGTTTCCCTGCTCCTCTCCCAGCAGCTCAGTGGCGTGGGGTTCTTTGGGGGGAAAGGCTTCTCCTGCCTGCTGCTCTTCTCGCGCCGTTGCTGCTGCTCCTGCTCCTGCTCCCGTGGCTCTTTCTGAGAAACCCAGCCACGTCTCTCCTTTTGACAAGGACGAGAAGGGAAAAGTGCTCCTAAATAATGTTTCTGGTAACTTTCCGGTTATTATTTGCTCTCTCCTCTTCTTCCTCCTCTTTCTCTTTCCCCTTCTCTGCCGCTCATCCGGCAGAATTATTAATCTCTTGACTTGCTGGGGTTCTGCTGGCTGGGGGTTTGCGGGCCCCAGAAGATGGGTCCTTCCTAACGAAGCCCCTCGTCTCTTTCCACGCTCCTTCCTTTCGCCTCACACAAGCACACACTTTCGGCCCCTTCCTTCCCCGGCTCTTCTCCCCACCACAACTCCATGGGCCCCATTTAGGATTCCTTGAAAGGAAAGAACAGCCCGGTTTCAGTTTGCCAAGCTTCTCTCTCCCCTCTCTTGTTGCGCCTGGTCCTGGTTTGTAGTTTGGGCTTGTTTTGTCTGACTTTTCTGGGTGCTTGACTCTCCTCTGACGTTTTGTTTTTTGGCTTTGTTTTGGTTTTTTTATTATTATTTTATCCCCCTCCTTTTATTTTGCTCTTTCTCCTTCCTTCCTTCCATTTCTCCCTTCCCCTTCTTTCTTGCTTTCTTCCTTCTGGCCCATCTTCTTTTCATTTCCTTCCTCCCTTCCCCTTTAATTTTGCTCTTTCACTGTCTCTTTTCCCCTCCTTCTCTATGTCCCTTCTCTCTTCCTTCTGAGCCATTTTCTTCTCTTTTTTTTCTTCTTTAACCTCCCTTTGACTTGCTTTTCCTTCCTTCCCCTTCTCTCTTTCTTTCTTTTGGCCTGTCTTCTCTTCTTTTTCTTTCCCACCTCCCTTTTATTTGGCTCTTTCTCTTTCCTTCCCCCCATTTCTCGCTTCCCTTTCTTTCTTTCTTTCTTTCTTTCTTTCTTTCTTTCTTTCTTCTGGCCCATCTTCTTTTCTTTTCCTTTCCCACTTTCCCATTTATTTTGATCTTTAACGGTCTCTTTTCCACTTCTTCTCTATGTCCCTTCTCTCTTCCTTCTGGGCCATTTCCTTCTCTTTTTCTCCCCTGACCTCCCTTTCACTTGTTCTTCCTTCCTTCCCCTTCTCTTTTTCTTTCTTCTGGCTCATATTATTTTCTTTTCCTTCCCCCTTCTCCATTTATTTTGCTCTTTCACGGTCTCTTCTCCCCCTTCTCTATTCCTTCTGTGCCATTTCTTTCTCTTTTTCTTCTTTAACCTCCCTTTGACTTGCTTTTCCTTCCTTCCCCTTCTCTCTTTCTTTCTTTTGGCCTATCTTCTATTATTTTCTTTCTCAATTTTCCTTTTATTTGGCTCTTTCTCTTGCACTCTCTTCTTTCCTCTTCTTCTTTCCATTCTTTCTGTCTTTTCCTCTTCTTCTTTCCATTCTTTCTCTCTTTTCCTCTTCTTCTTTCCATTCTTTTTGTCTTTTTAACTTCTACTCTCCATTGTTTTTCTCTTTTCCTCTCCTCCTTCTCATTCTTTCTCTCTCTTCTGGCCCATTTCCTTTTCTTTTTCTCTCTCCTACCTTTTCTTTTTCTCCCCTCCGGTTTCTTTCCCCCTTCTCTCTCTCTCTTTCTTTCTCTTTCTCTCTCTTTTGGCCCCTTTTCTTTTTGACAGTACGATGAGCTGCCTCATTACGGCGGGATGGACGGAGTAGGGGTGCCTGCCTCCATGTACGGAGACCCCCACGCCCCCAGGCCGATCCCCCCCGTCCACCACTTGAACCACGGCCCGCCGCTCCACGCCAGCCAGCACTATGGAGCCCACGCCCCGCACCCCAATGTCATGCCCGCCAGCATGGGATCCGCCGTCAACGACGCCCTGAAGCGGGACAAGGACGCGATCTACGGGTAGGTAACCCCACGGGAGGGCCTTCCTTCCTTCCTTCCCTCCCTCCCACAGGGGAGCGCTTCTTCCCTCTCAGATCTCGGTTCTGAAACCACCGTGGTCTGATCCGGAGGACCCCTGTCACGGGCCAGATCTGTACCTACAGTCAGTAGCGTCTCGCCAGTCTCCAGGATTCCTATCCCTAAGCAAAAAGAAGAGCTTTTTGAGAAGGATATTATTGAACTCTGGCCTATCTCTACCGACCGTTTCATGCAGTTCAAACTACAAGGGTTGGGCAACAAACTCCACAAAAGCGGTCGAAAGAAGGGCTCTGTGGTTTCTGTCAACACCACTCGGGACTCAAGCTGGATCCAGGATTTCCTATGGACAGCGAAGACCGGTTGGAAACTAGGGCTCCCACACAGCTGAATAAAATCCCACATGATCTGCTTTGAACTGGGGTATATGACAGTGTAGACTCAGATAACTCAGTTCAAAGCAGATATTGTCGGATTTTCTGCCTTCATATTCTGGGTTATATGGCTGTGTGGAAGGGCCCTAGGAAATGGTCAATGTCACTCTTTCTGCTTCGCCTTCCAAAACTAAAAGGGGATCCAAGCACTTTGGGTGGGTTGAGTTGGACTGCCTTAGCCACCTCCGTGGGATGCCACAGCCCACGAATCCGCGGAAGGGACATGCTTTTGGAAGGAGGGTCAGTTGTTACGACACGGCGGAGAAAAAGTAGATCTGCTCTCTCAGGGCCCTTCCATACAGCCCTGTATCCCAGAATATCAAGGCAGAAAATCCCACATTATCTGAATCTGGGATATAGGGCTGTGTGGAAGGGCCCTGGGTTATCTCAATCCACAGTGCCATATATTCCAGTTCTAAGCAGATAATGTGGGGTTATTCAGCTGTGTGGAAGGCGGACTAACACCCTCTGTTTTGATCGAGCCAGGCTGCCCAAAGCTTCAGGCTTTGACATTCATTTGCAGTACTGGACTTGGGAGTAAGCCCCGTTTCCTAAGGCCAGTTTACAAAGCAGCTCCTCTCCAATCAATAGGTCTGGCCGCTTGATGATTTTAGGTGCTAATCTGTAAATGCGAAAGGTTAGTCCTCGGAAACAACCCGAAATAACCTAGGAAGAGGGATAGGGAGGGATGGTGTTGTTGACATCCCCAGTCCGAAGAAACCCGAGCAGGGCAGCGGGTGAAGGAGAGTCCTCGTCAGGCCACTTTGGGCGCGGATTAGGTTTCTCTGAAGCGGATCTAGTCGCCCTTGGGTCAGAACTCCCTAAACAAAACCGAAGCAGGAAAACGGAGAAAAGGACGTGAGCTTTTCAAAGGCCCCTCTTCTTCCCCCAGTGTCAGCTCGGACAATAGAGGGAAATTGTTGTTTCAAAGACTTTTTTCCTCTCGTGAGTTGGTGGCTGGGCAGTTGCAGTTGCTGTTTTCTCGGGGTGCGCTTGTTCGGCCTTGGGGAACTTTTCCTGTCCTCGCAGCCCCTTCTCTCTCTCCCCTTCCCCACCTTCAGCAAGATGTGTTTGGCCTGCTCCTCATTCCCAGCCAAAGGTCCAGTAGTTTTAAAACAGTTTCCCCAAGGAGAAGAAAGTCCCCCTTCTTAGCCTGTGCTGGGTATGTCCTAGCGACCTGGCTTGCTCTCCTTGGTTTCCTGGGCCTCTGCGGGAAGGAAGGAAGGAAGGAAGGAAGGAAGGAAGGAAGGAAGGAAGGAAGGAAGGAAGGAAGGAAGGAAGGAAGGAAGGAAGGAAGGAAGGGGGGACCGGGCTGCTCTGGGAAGGCGCGCCTGCCTTGCATGAAGGGCCCCACACTTTCCGCTTTCGGCCTCGCTTCCTAGTGCTGTATTTGCTTCTTCTTTGTGGAAAGGCTGAGGCGTGGAAGGCTGCTTGAACGTGGGCAATGCATGTTTGGCTTGGTTTTAGTTTGGAAAGGCAAAAATAATACTTGTTGACCGTCTTTCTCCCCTCCTTCTGTTTCTTCTCCTTCTCTTCCCTCTCTTCTCCTTATTTCTATTCTCCTTCTCTTCCACCTCTTTTTCCTTCTTCCCCTTCCCTCCATTTTTCTCTTCCTCATCCTTCATTTTCTTCTTCTCCCCACTTTTCCCTTATTCTCCTTAATTACATTATTTTCCTCCTTCCTCTTTCCTCTACCTCCTGTCCCTTCTTCTCCTTCTCGTAATTTTCCTCCTTCTTGTTCTTTTTCCTCGTTCTTCACTCCTTCTTTTTCTTTTTCTCTTCCATCTCCTTTCCTGTCTTCTCCTTATTTCTATTCTCCTTCTCCCCTTCTCATCTACCTCTTTTCCCTTCTTCTCCCTCCCTTTATTTTTCTCCTTGTCCTCTCATCCTCATCCTTCTTTCTTCTCCTCCTCCTTAATTGTATTATCTTCCCCCTTCCCCACTCCTCCACCTCCTGTCCCTTCTTCTCCTTCTCTTAATTTTCCCCCTCCTTCTTGTTCATCTTTCCTCGTTCTTCACTTTCTCCTCGTCGTCGGCTTCTTCTTCTTCGTCTCTTCCCTCTCCTCTTTTCTCCTTATTTCTATTCTCCTTCTTCTCCTTCACCTCTTTCCCCTTCTTCTCCTTCCCTTTATTTTTCTCCTTGTCCCCTCCTCATCCTTCTTCTCCTTCTCCTTAATTGTATTATCTTCCACCTTCCCTTCTCCTCCACCTCCTGTCCCTTCTTCTCTTAATCTTTCTCCTCATTCCCCTTCTTGTTCTTTTCTCCTCATTCTTCACTTTCTTCTCTTCCTCCTCCTGGTCTTTGTCCGCCAGGCACCCGCTCTTCCCGCTCCTGGCGCTGGTCTTCGAGAAGTGCGAGCTGGCGACCTGCACGCCCCGGGAGCCCGGCGTGGCCGGCGGAGACGTCTGCTCCTCGGACTCCTTCAACGAGGACATCGCCGTCTTCGCCAAACAGGTCGAACGCGTTTTCTCCCGCCCTCCCCACCCCTCCCCTCCAGCTTCAGGACTCCTCACCCCCAAACACACCCCTCCGCGCGGGGAAAGCGACCTCTTCCAACCTGGTCACAGAACCATCCCTTTCCCACCCAACAGGGCTGGAGCTGGGCTCTTAGCGAACAGGGAGGAGGGGTTCAGTTGAGGGTGAAAGAGAGGGTCCACTCCTGGGAAGAAGCCCCAGAGCCCTTCCTCAGATATCCCTGGAAAGGGGCGTGTGGTGAACATGGGGCCAAACTGGGGCAGCCAAGCCACTCTCTCAGCCATTTATTCACCCAGCAGTGGACACGGAGGGCCCTTCCACACAGTCCTGTATCCCAGAACATCAAGGCAGAAAACCCCACATTATCTGAGTGTAGACTGAGGGCCCTTCCAAACAGCCCTATATCAAAGAAATCCCACATTATCTGAGTGTAGACTGAGGGCCTTTCCACACAGTCCTATATCACAGAATAACAAGGCAGAAAATCCCACATTATCTGCTTTGAACTGGGTTATATGAAACCACACTCATATAATATGGGATTTTCGGCCTTCATATTCTGGGATATAGGGCTGTTTGGAGGGACCCTCAGTCTACACTCAGATAATGTGGGATTTCTTGGATATAGGGTTGTTTGGAAGTGCCCTCAATCTACACTCGGAGAATGTGGGATTTTCCGCCTTGATATTCTGGATATTCTGTGTAGAAGGGCCCAGAGAAACATTCCCCTGTTCACACCTGCCTCAAGTAAACAAGAGTTCTTTCTCCCATCCGGGACATAAGCCCCACTTTCCCGGTGTCCAGCAGACCACACATCCTCTGAGGATGCCTGCCATAGATACAGGCGAAATGTCAGGAGAGAATGCTTCAGAAACGTGGCCATAACAGCCCGGAAAACTGACAGCAACACAATGATTCCGGCCATGAAAGCTTTCTACAATACATTCCCTGATTTCAAGCTAACTGGGGAAAGAGGTGCCACTGCCGGGAGATCAAGTTCAATTCTGGGAAGCCCCAAAGCCCTCTCTTAGCTTTCTATAAAAGCGGGGGGGGGGGGGGGTCAGCCCTTTTTCACGCCCCCTTCCCACTTAGTCTTGAGACCGGGCTGGGTTGGAGGGTTTGGGAAACGACCCCTTCTTTGCACTGATTCATTGCCTTGCCCCCTACTTCTTTTTCTCCGTGTAGGTTCGGGCGGAAAAGCCACTTTTTTCTTCAAACCCCGAGTTGGACAATTTGGTAAGGTTCTCTCCTCTTCCTCCTTCCCCTCCTTTGTTTTCTTTTTTTTTTTTTTGGCTTTGACCCCTTTCTGTGGAGGCAACCTGGTCTTTTCCCATCAGGTGTAATTGTCTTTGGCGGGGAGGAGGGAGGCCAGAGGCTTATGGAAAGTGACACTGGGGAAAGAAAGAAAGAAAGAAAGAAAGAAAGAAAGAAAGAAAGAAAGAAAGAAAGAAAGAAAGAAAGAAAGAAAGAAAGAAAGAAAGCGGGAAGAAGGAAAGGAAGGCAAGGCATCCTCCTGATCTTGGGACTTCAAAGGCAGGTCCTTTCCATGCCAAGAGGACAACAAACCCCGAGGTCCCCAATGCATGGCAAAGCTGGGTTGAAAACCCCGGGGAGTCAAAGGGAAGCCAAGGGAATGCTAGCCGGCTTTAGAAAAGAAAGGCTGTGGAGCTGCCCAACTCGATTCTTTTGCAAATAAGGCCGATTTCAATATTCAAAGGGCTAGGGGTCTGCTTGGAGAAGAGGGGAAAGCAAACCATCTAGAGGAAATCACCTTTTTAAAGCAGGCCAAGGGGTAGTGAGTGGGTGTCTGAGGTGTTGGGTTGCTCTGCGGATCTTCAGAGAAGCTATTGGGGGGAAAGGACATTCTTTTACAAGTCACTTACCGCTTCCACTGTGAGAAAGAAGAGAGAGAGAGATTATTATTTATTTTGGGGGGAAATGAAGTGCTTTAGGTTAAAGTTGAGGCTCAGAATTGCCCAAGCGTGTCCAATGAGCTCAAAATCCTGGCTAATGAGGGTGCGCCTTGCCCTGACAACCTGCCTCTCCCTCCCTCCCTCCCTCCCTGCCTGCTTTCTTCCCCTTCCCTCCCCCAAATGACAACTCCTTTGCTCCCAATTTTCTTTCAGATGATCCAAGCAATACAAGTCTTAAGGTTTCACCTTTTGGAATTAGAAAAGGTAAGAGCAAGGAGCCCCCTCTAGGCTCTCTTCATCCTTCTCCCCCACCACTTTGGCTTTGATAAACCTTAAGGGAAGCTGAGCTGGACATTGTCACAAGTAGGACTACAAAGCACAACATGGCGCAATGGGTTAAACCCTTGTGCCGCCTTAACTGCTGACCTGGAGGTTGGGTTGCTGACCTGAAGGTTGCTGGTTCAGATCCACGAGATGGAGTGAGCTCCCATCTGTCAGCTCTAGCTTGCCGGGAAATGAGAGAAGCCTCTCAGCAGGATGGTAACAACACATCCTAGTGTCCCCTGGGCAATGTCTCTGTAGATGGCCAATTCTCTCACACCAGAAGTGACTTGAAGTATGTTCTCAAGTCGCTTCTGACATGATTTTAAAAAAGCACAACATGCACTCCTCCCTTTTCTGGAACTCTATTGTATCGGGTCATCTTTTCAAGTGAGTCTTCTTTTCCCCATATATGGTCTCCTTCCCCTTTTTTAATCTCCATAACCTCTCATTTTATCCTGAATATTTCAAAATTAAAGAACTGTTTGTGTGATATAACCATTGTCTCTGAGCAAAACATTAAGATGAAGGAGAGATCAGTCCAATTGAAAAAAGCGAAATGTTAAAATATTTTTTAAAAAAAATCCCACTCTAGTACAGAGCTGAGTGCATTATTGTCTTCCCATCTTTCCCCTCTGCTTTGTGCCTATAACTGCCTATAGTCCCAGATTTTATTTACTTTAGTCCAGATTTCAGTGCCTTTGATATTATCCACAAATCGGATTTTCTTCTATCTATAGAGAAGGCTAATGCTCAGTATCCCCCTCCTTCCTTCATTCCCTTTCAAACTTGTTGCTCATGCAAGTCTCTCTGGGGAATAATATGTGCTGTAACAATTTCTCTATTGTTTCCTTACCTTCCACTATTATGCCCCTTAATTAGAGTTACTCTTGGAATAGATCACAGTATTTCTTTGCAACCGGGGAGGGGGGAAACCTTCTTAAGTTGCAACCTGATCTTTTTGCCTCTCCTTTCTCAACAAATTCTCCTTTTGCTTCCCTTTATTTAACCTTCTATCCAGGTTCATGAGTTGTGTGATAATTTCTGCCACCGGTACATTAGCTGTTTGAAAGGCAAAATGCCAATAGACCTAGTTATTGATGAAAGAGATGGCAGCTCCAAATCAGACCACGAAGAACTCTCAGGATCATCCACAAATTTAGCCGATCATGTAAGTCCTTTTGGTCATTCAGTATATCCTTCCATTGTTGTGACATAATCAGTATTTCCCTAGTGTTCCCCTATCTTGTGTTTGTCTGCTCCTTTTTTCTTCGGCAGTTTGAGAAAAGGAGTTTTTGCTTTGTATTCAAAGACTGTGTGTTGATTTATGGCTTGGAAAATTACTGATTTTGACTTAGGAACTTGTTGGCATTTTTTTTCAATAGGGAAATGCATTCTTTTCTGCTTTACCATTCTCAAGAAACTAGAAGTGATCACCTTAAATTAAAAGCTTGTTTTCTATGATGAGAAGGTGAATGCTGAGAATTATTCACAGTTGTGTGTTGCATGAAAGCAAGTTATAGTTTGTTGTGTTTTTCCATAGTTGCAACTTATTGAAATGATTGCCAAGCACCTGAAGCATCCTCATAATAAATTGCAATAACCTTGATGAGCCAATTATTAACAGTATATTATGGAAGCTGGGAAGAATTATGACTAACTATAGGTTAGGCGGTTGCATTTAACACTTTAGTAGTGACTGAATAGTTGCTTTGTTGAATGTGGACAAGTAGAATTGCGTGGCTGGGAGTTGTATGATTCAGAGAAGAGTTTCTGAAAAATTAACATAAATATCTAAATGGAGAAGTTGTTTACCATATGGGAAGAAACAAAAATGGAACAGAAAAAGGGCAAATGGTTACATTTGAATGTCAACTATAGCTGCTTTGGAAGAATGTCATAGAGGAAAGGATTTACATAGGTTTTGTCAATGAGCTCTTAAAACAAATGGCAGACAGAGAATATCATAGCAGGAGTGTGATTTTTAACATGTGAGGCTTAAGGATTCCGATGCTTTGTGAAGGCATCTAATAGTGATCTTTATTGTGCTATGGAAGTGAGATATAATAGTAAGGCTGTAAAGTTGATATTAGGTGGACTCAGAGTGTTTATTTGATCTCCCCTTTGCTTTTAAAAAGATGTCAGGTAGTTAAATATTTGTTTGTTACATTTCTTCACAGAAATACCTACCACATGGGCTGCCGGTAGTTTTCAAAGTGTATACAGGCCATTTGTTTCCTTTTCTAATATAGCTGATAGTGTTTGCTTCTTTTGACATCACAGCTGCCCCAAATATTCATGATATTTCAAATTTCAAGAGTATAAATCCTATAAAAATATAACCTGAGGGTATTAGGTTTCTAAGCCACTATGTTATATCATACATAGCAATGTTTGTAGAATATATCAAAAGTTTCAGAAGTATTTCTTACATGTGATTTAACATTTTAAATCAGTGTGCATTGCACATGACTTTATGGGACATTAGAAATAATATGCATCCTGAAATATCAGTATGCCCTGAAATATCACTATGTAAAGGGAAAAGCCTTTATGTGTTCTTAGAACTGTTTCGCTGTAAGAGTTTGTTTCTTGTAAGAGAGTCGAAATGGAGCATGCTGATGTTTATACTGAAGAGATTAGATAAACTAGCCTGTTCGGGCTCTGACAGATGGTGACTGCTCAAGCCAATTTGAAGTGGTCCATTATAATATTCAAATTCACTCACACCGATAGGACAAGGCTCAGAGACCTGGTCTTTTACAATTTCTTAACCATCTTTGTGGGAAACCATTCCTGCCTTGCCTTTGATAAACTCTAAAAACAACAATTCAAAGGCATTTTTTACACCTGCTAAGCTTTATCACCCCATTTGTTCTGAAAGGAGATAATTGTGTAACAAGAGCACTGACTGGGAGGAGAAGAAATAGATCATGTTATTGCACTTAAGCAATTTTGTCTTATTAGACATGCGATTTAACGTCTTCATCCCGCATATAACTTTAAAATTGCTAAATACAGATGTAGATAGTGTATCTATCTGAATTGCTACTTTTAGCTTGTCTGTTATTTTCACAGTACTGTAGTAATCATCATCACTACTAATGATGCCTTGTGCAATTTTAATGTACAGATACAAAGACTAAAATGAAATGATTCATTTGTGAATGTCAACCTGACAATTAGAATGGCCAAACATGAAAACTTCTCTAGTTTGATTCCCAAGGTTTATTCTCCCCCCCCCCCCGCCCCATTTGCTTTGATATGCATATTTAAAATACAGCCTCAGGCGAAATCTCATTTGGTGAAAGTTGGTTCAGGGGTGATGATGAACCACTTCAGAAGGACATAGGCAGCATGTTGTTTCTTCTGTTTTATCTCTTGGCTCACTGATCAAATCCATAGATCCTTCTCTCTTTTGCATTTGAGATATGGAGAATATTTCAACTGATTCACTATGAATTAATGACAGTTTTAAAAAGAAGTGTAATTTAATTTGTTTTGTGCCAGGGCCTCTCTTGAGGAGATGACAGTTTTTGACAGAGACTTGACACCCCAAATTTCTATACTTCTGTTGAATGTTCTTGTGTATGTTTACGGTCTGAGCCCATTGCAGTGGAAGCAATGGTAGCAACAATGAATTAGGTGCTAACTTAGCTCTCAGTTTTATATTTCACATAGTTTGAAAACAGACTCAAAGCATAGTACATGAAGAAATATGCCAGAAGCTGGTACTTGCAATAGTTCAAATACTTTATATTTCAATCACAATTCTGCTATGATTATTATATAATTAAATTTGGGAGGAAAATGGTTTAGCCTTTGCAAATCAATAGTTTTGCTAGGAAAGATAGATATTCCCACTGCAGCTGGTGACAATACATGTATATGTTGAATTTTATTTCATTGAACTGTTCACTCTTATGTAATACGGTAAGAGTAAGCTGGTCAGGGACTTTATACATTAGATAGAATAGTGCTAGAGAGTGGAAAGCTGCAACTTTTTTATATACTCGGCTATATTTAGTAAATATAACAGCCTGTAATTAGCATCTGAATTTTTAACATCCTCATATATTTTTATTGCAGTAAGGTATTAACTTTAGATGGGTAGAAGTAATTACAACCATGCTGAGGCAAAACCAGACCAGTTAAAAAGTACAGAAGCTATGGTTTAAGTTATGCTTCTTTAGAATAGCAATTCATCACTGTCTCATATATCTTAATTTTAAATTGGCATTCACTCTTCTACTTATTTTTTTACTATGACTAGAATAAATTTAATATTCTGTCTGGTTATTTAAAAATTAAATCAAAATTTAGATTTGTTGATTGTGCATCATCTAAGATTTACAGAGAATCCTTTCTCTGGAAGTCTTGTTGATTTCAACAGGCATGAAACCGTATGCATGTAGCCACTGACAGTACTGAAGCATATGCTGCTATTTCTTCATAAATTATTTTGGGAAAAGATGCAGCCGTCTTTTGCCTGGTTTATAACTCATTTCAAATGTAGTTCTTCCATCATGGAGGTCAAAACGGACATTCATGTCAAGAATACAGATGTGGTGGGCCTCATTCTGCATGAGTTGTGCGGGTATATATGACTATAAAATACAAAATCTGGGAAATGAAAGTACATTTTTTCTATATGATGATAATACCCTTATGTAGCTTTTCTCTGATGCACTCAAGTCCCTTCATATCATTAGCTCAATCTTTACACTAGACCCATAAAATAGGTTATATTAAACCCATATTGTATATGGATGATTGAGGCAGAGAAAGTGGCTTTCTAAGAACACACGTTAATTTATTTTAAGGTGCAAAATAAAGATTTTGGCTTTAAAGTATAACACTAATTATTCAGAGTGTGAATGCCACAAACACAAATTTAAAAACATATAAAGCGAAGTAGAGTCTATTCAGGCTGCCGCTGTTGAGTTTGTACTTGCTAGGTTTCTTCCTTGGTAATGCACAAAACTGTTGACATACTTGAAGCAGACTTACCTATGTCACCTGTAAACATTTGTTGTTGTTGTTGTTGTTGTTGTTTTCACTGTTGTTGTTGTTTTTAAACCCTTTAATGAAACTTTTAAAAAGTGTCAAGAGATGCCACTGCCTGGTTTGTATACAATATCTGATGTTTTCTTTTCTGGACAGTAAAATGTTGTATAGATTTTGAGTGTCATTTGAGCAAGGCTGTAACAAAATAAGTAAGTTATACTAGGCCACATACATCTTCCAGTTGCTCAAGTGTGTCCTGAGTTCTTTTGTTAACTAAAAAGTAAAAAACAAAGATCTCTGCAAAATTTTATTAACAACAAATAATATAAACTTGCCAAGAATGCAAGATAAACACCAAAGGCCATTTTGTAGAATTCTGAATTTTGTACCATTCACACTTGGAGTTACCCATGTGAATGAACTCAGTTTTGTGCAGCAGGCAGCTTGTGTGAACTGGATACCCTACAGTTGTAATGGCATTTACCATACCATTACAACTTTTTGTGTGTATGGGGAGGGAGGGAGGAATGGGTAAGAAATGGGGAATACTTGATTGTAATATCAATTTCAATAGGGCTGCTTATGAGTAGGTGGTTCCAGAGTGTGACAGCGTGTTTTCTTTGTGGCTATATTATATGAAATATCCAAAAGGAAAGTGATCCACTCTCATACTACTAGTGCCGATCTGCTGCTAAATGCCATTGTTTGTGTTTTAAATTTTTACAAATTTTAAAGTTACACTAGGTGTTAGTTCCAGTGATGAGTAACTAATTTTGTAGCTGACTTTGTCACTAATAATCTTGGCTGAAATATTGCTTGATTTTTAAAATGTTGCTAACGTCCATGACATTCCTTATATGTGACACAACACTTTCAAATAAACTACTGGGAAGGCAGTCACTATCTTAAATGTGGTTAAGATTTCATTCTTGGTATCTGAATTACCTTATTGGGCAAGGTGTTATTAAATGAAGTATTAGCATTCCGTTCTTGGTTTTGTTGTTGTTTTGCCTTCTGTACCATTTTTACGGTGTAGACATGGGTCTTTATTACTGGACATACCTTTCAGAATACCATGCAGTAATAATTTAATGGCATAACATTAGCTCTTAAGAGAAATTGCCTTATAGAGATAAAGAGACACGACATCAATTTTAGACCTAC